GAATGTACAGAACCAAGAGTGAATCCTAAGGTAAACTATGGACTGTGGGCGATTATGATGTGTAGGTTCAGTTGGAACAAACGTACCACTCTGGTGGACATCAGTCATGCAGGAGCCTATGCATGTGTGCTGGCAAAGGATATCGGGGAAATCTCTGCAAACTTAAGTTTTGCTGTGAACTTAAACTTCTCTAAAAATGCTAAAATGTAAAAATCTGGGGTGCCTGGGTGGCTCAGTCAGTTAAACATCCGACCTCAGCTCAGGTCATGATCTCACAGCTCATGGGTTGAAGCCCTGTGTCAGGCTATGTGCTGACAGCTCAGAGCCTGGAGCCTGCTTCGGATCCTGGGTCTCCTTCTCTCTCTGCCCCTTCCCCCTCATGCTCTCCTTCGAAATAAATAAACATCAAAAAAATGCAAGACATCTATGAAAAACTTAATAAATAAATTAAAAATGTAAAAAAAAATTTATACCAATACTTCATCATTTAATCGTACAAAAATCTCACTAAATAAATGAAAATGAAAGTGGAGAATGAAAAATTAAAGATGTGAAAAAATAAAGATATGGCACACAAATGATGTAAATATGAGAATAAGAAGTAGAGAGAACCTGGTATTATGGAAAGATTCAAAGAAACTTAGGGGGAAAAGGGGAATGTGGAATTTAGACACTGCAGTAGAGGCTGAATGTATTAATGTCTGGGAGTGGGCGACTTTTTGAATTTTGAAGTTTTGCCTGTTTTTTGTTTTGTTTTGTTTCGTGTCGTTGAGAGGCAGGGAGTGCAAAAATGGGAGGATGGGGAAAGAGGATCTGACGTGGGATCTGCACTGACAGCAGTGAGTCCATGTGGGGCTTGAACTCACGAACTATGATATCATGACCTGAGCCAAAATCGGACATTCAACTGACTGAGCAACCCAGACACCCCTGAATTTTTATCATTTTTTCAAATCTTTTTTTATTAGTTTTTGCTTTATTTCTGAGAGGCAGAGAGAGACACAGCATATGAGGGGGAGGGGCAGAGAGAGAGGGAGACACAGAATCCAAAACAGGCTCCAGGCTCTGAGATGTCAGCACAGAGCTTGATGCGGGGCCCGAACTCAGGAACCATGAGATCATGACCTGAGCCGAAGTTGGACGATCAACTGACTGAGCCACCCAGGCAGCCCGAATTTTTACCATTTAATTACCACTGAAAATAAATTATATATGTTGCTACCAGATGGTATTTGATAAGCTGGGTCTCTTTTTCCTCTCACTTCCTAAGGGTGTTTTGTAGTTGAGCTCAACTTCCTGTCCATATAATAAGATTTTTGATGTATTGGAAATGTCTCTCAAATAAAAATCAGCTACACTCATAGTCTCTTAATTCATGATGAAAAAATCAATGCCAGTTGATTACAGATTTTTTTTCCCAAAACTCTGGTGAACAGACCAAATTTAGGATTTAAGATAATTTTAAGCAGGACACAGATAAACATTTCTATTTTAATGCCAAGTTATTAATTATTTTAAATATCACAATCTACTTATGGTAATTGATAATGGTTTTCTGTTTATTAATTGATTTTACTACTTGATTTAAGTGGTAGGTTTTGGTTACAAATACCGTTAAACAGAAGGTTACATGAATAAGGAGCATTTTAGTTGTTCAATTAAATTATGTAATTTTGAACTTATATATGGAAGTTTATATGCACAAAATACATTTTACTTTGAGTCATCAGATTCTTATCATCCCATACTTCTTACATAGACTGAGTTTAGAATTGAATTATCCCTTTTCCCATTTTATACATAAAATTAATTAGATTAAATTTTCTTTTAAAATTCATAGGATAACTAAGAAGTTTACATCTTTGTAACAAAAGAAACATGGCAGACTGAACAAAATTATCCACTAAAATCTCTCTGTAGCTCAAATCACTCATACTCAAGACAAATGTTAATTTTCATGTAACTGAATAGTGATCATATATTTTAAATTTCATTTCTAAGCTTAAGAGACTACTGTTGTGAAAATCCCTCACTTCACCAGTGGTGGGCAAACTCATTCTCACTTGACTCACAAGAAACTGTTCTCATAAACTATATAATAAGAGGGTCAAAGGATACAGAACATTAGAGACAGGAAATCAATGTATCTAATAGCAAAGGCTAGAAGAGTAAAGGAAACAATAATGAGAAATTAAGCTTGGGATGGGGGGGGACCAGATATGGTATACGGTTGACTCCTGAACAACACAGGTTTCAACGGCACAGGTCCACTTATATGAGGGTCTTCTTTGATACGTACAAAACAGTTTTGTAAATGTATTTTATCATCCTCATGCTTTTGTTAATACGTTTTATTTTTCTGGCTTACTTTAAGAATGCAGTATATAATATATATAACATACAAAATATATGTTAATGGCTGCTTACATTAATCATGAGGGTTCTGGTCAATAGTAGGCTATTAGAGATTTTGGGGAGTCAAGTTACGTGTGGATTTTCAACTATGCAGCAGGTTAGAGACACTAACCTCCACATTGTTCAAGGGTCAACTACATTTGAGGTTATCACACCCAACTGTACCTTTCTTCAAAATTGTTTTAATCCTTGCTTAATGCCATTGCATTCTGGTTCTTTATTCTGGGCTCAGTGATAATAAAATAATATACTGGGGTGCCTCGGTGGCTCAGTCAGTTAACCATTCGACTCTGGATTGCAGCTCAGGTCATGAACCCACAGTACATGGGATCGAGCTCTGCACTGACAGCATGAAGCCTGCTGGGAATTCTCTCTCTGCCCCTCCCCCGCTTGTGGTCTCTCTCTCTCTCTCTCTCTCTCTCTTTTCTGAAAATAAATAAATAAACCTTAAAAAGGTAATAAAATACCCACTGGTATGGAATAATGTAGCTCTGAATTAATGCCTCGTACAGTAACCCTGTGAAAAGACAGTGAAGCAAAGGGAAACAAAGTGTACCTAAATGTTAGGTAATTACACATTTTGATGCTTATTTTTCACAACATCTTTTTACTCTCATTTTTAAGTGAGCAAACATGTTTTCAGGCCCAAAATACGATGATTCATACCCTATGTTTCCTCAACTGACATGATTCAAGCTTATTGTTTACTCCAAGGACATGGAAGGAAGAGAGCTTTCATGTTGACTCAAAAGCGGCTCTGTCTTTTGACAACCCCTCACGGGGATCAATTAGATCCATCTGGGTCTACAGCTTTGGTGAGTCAGGCTGCTACCCATTAGAAGGAAGACTAGTGATGCCGCTTTTTTCCATATACAGTAGCTCTTGTCGGACACTAGCTCGCGTGACAGTAACCTCCCCCCCCCCAACAACAACAACAACAACAACAACAAAACCAGTCTTACAGTTGAATTGTTTCTCTAAAACATAGATTTCCTTTATTCCTCACACCAGTATCTTAACTCTAAACATGTTCTTGTATTTGGAAATCTGAAACCCTCACCACCCTCCCACCTTTGCCAGGTGATGGGTTTCCTTATAAATTCTCCGATTTGTTTGGTTTTGTTTTTGACATACTGCATTAAGTTCATATTTTATAAATATTTTGATCCCATCATGCTTTGATCAGTCTTCAAAGATAGAACATACAGTAAATTAAATAACTTAGCCTGTTCTCTAGATGTCATGTTTCACTATGTTCCAGAATTCTCATTTACTGTATGTATCATAGAGAATTTCAATGTAGAACAACAACTTGAATCCAATGAGGAAATTAACCAGCATTCAACCTGACATGTAGGGGCACTCAGGAGTTTCTATTTCTCTTCTCTTTCCCAAGACAAATGGTGCTTCTTTAGCGTTCTCTCCTGACCACTGACGTGTTTCGAGAAGAGGAATACTCAGACCATCTTGGGAGATAGATTCATATGAATACAAAGAACAAGGCTTACCTGCTCTGAAGCCATTTCCTGAGACTTTCCTATATGCTATGAATGTGTTGAGGTAACCACTGAATGATTTATGCATTTTTTGTATTATTGCCCCATGACAGAAAGTCTTATAAGATATGAGTTTATATATTTTCCTTAGGTCAATAGTGTTTTTTGCATCAAAAGCCAATTTTTCTTTGGTCTGATTTTGTATATGAAGGTTTAACCCCTTAGAGGTGGAAGATTCAGAACAAATCACACACTGCTCTCTCTCTTTCTTTTCTACTTTTTTTTGTTTGTTTGTTTGTTTTCCCAGTTCTTGTATGCATGTGGGATATGGGCAGCTAGCAGGGAATTGAAAGGTTCAGAAGAAATAGAGTTGAATCAATAGGAAGTCTCAAACTATATCGCAGAATCAATGTATAAGTGAGGGAAAGGGAAATCCCACTTTTTCAGTAGTAGTACAAATGGAATGTATGGGTTTCGGAAGGAAGGAGAGAGAGAGATTATTTTCTTACTCTACCAATGGCTTTGTTGACTCACTACCCAGCAGCCTTATAGCAAAAGGAGCTCTTTGTAACGTCTGGGCTTTGAGAAATTCCATTATTCATCTTACCCTAGAACTGGCTCTAACTGCTTTCATCAGTGGACACAATTGTCAGTGAAAAAAATGAACTGCAAATGGCAAGTGGTCAAACCATCTTTCTCAAACACTAACTTCCAGCAAGAGACAGAGATTTTTGAGTAATTGAAAAAATGTATTAAATGTCTACTATACTTCAGGTACTGTGAAAGTATCTCCATATCATGAATCATGGGAATTCATCCTTTGAGGTTGTATTAATAAATGCCTTTTACAAATGAAAAATTGCGACTGGTTAGCTTGAGTAACATGTTCACCATCATGCCACTGTTAAGCCACTGCTACAGGGACTGATAGCAGATGTCTTTGTTCAAATCCTGTGGCTTTTCCTCTAATACGTATCACGTGAAGGCATAACATTTTCCCCAAACTCAATCATCCATGCAGGTTTGGACAGAGCATTGTTTTTCCTTTCTCTTCCGACACACAGAAAATGAAAAGTTTCTTTTTCTTACCGAACAGCACTACTGCCCACATCTAGGTCTTGTGCAGTGACAGCACCGATGATGGTCCCAACTGGAGTGTCTTCATAAACCTCCATGGTATAGAGCGGCTTGCTAAACACCGGTGGCTCCTCAATATCCAGCACACTGATCTTCACTGTGGCTGTGTCTTTAAAAGGGCCCGCGGAGTGAAATCTGTGGTCAATGTGAAGGTTGGAGGCTTCTACTTTAAAAGTATATGCCTTCTTTGTTTCAAAATCTAATGGCTGGAATAAGGACAAATCGAAAATGAAGAGGTGCATGCATATAGAATGTGGCAAAGATGGTGAACATTGTTTCAGAACATTTGCAAGGTAATACCAATTCTGAATCGGTTTCAAAACTTGTAATTAGTGGGTGAAGACACAGTTTCGGAATCACACTCTTGTAGATTATTCTGGGTAACTTGTAACGATAATTAGTTGCATATACTAAAATGGCACGTAGATGCACATACATGCTTAAGTAGGGCTTATTCATTTTGCAGGAGCGGTTAAAACACCAAGAGAAATTTTAAGGCAAGTTATTTTCTGATCTTACACAATACTGACATCTAGTGGAATTAAGCTATAATTAAAATACAATAAAATTGAAATTGGATAGCTAGGACAGTCTACGTTCCAGTTTAAAATTTGGTACAACAAAATATGTTTTTTTTTCTTGAACTACTCTTCTTATTTTGACAGTAATATAATTTTTTATTAAATTTTTTTTTTTACTGTTTAAGTCTTTTCACTGAAAAAAAAGGACTCTGTCAGGATTTAAAGCATACACAGTGGTAATTATAGAGTTTTGGTCTTTGGTGTTCTCAGCATTGTATATATAATTAGTAGGCATTGTAATGCATCATTAGGATATTTTACCAATCTTTTACCTTGAACATATATCATCAAATTAAACACAATTGTGAAACATGGTGTTTGGAAGTCATTTGTCCAGAAGTCACTGATTCTCTATTTTAATACGTTACTACTACTTACTTTCACTTTTATTCTATTTGTTTTATGTTACAAATAACTGAAAATATTACATTCTGGAAATATGGGGTTGCCACGGTGCTTTATATAAACTTTAGAGTCAATGGCTCTCCCTTCCATGAAAAATACAATAAAATTGAATATGAATATGAATATAAATTGAATATGAATATGAAAAACTAAGACAATAGGAAATTAACATTAACATAGAGATTTTCAGGGACCTTTAGTAGTTTCTGTTTTCTAAATTAATTCCCTCTGCTATGACTCCAATGACTTGCTAATTGCTGTGTCAACAGATCTGGTTTTTGTCTCAGCACACCTGGGGAAAATAAGGGAGATCTATTTCTCCCTTAAGGATAAGACCATAATTTTATGCACTTTCTCTGAGGATGAAAATGGAAAATTTTAAAAAATTCCTGTGAAATCCTCAAAAACTCTCACAGTTCCATGGAGTTTATTAGAGCAAATAGTAACACCACCGAGACGTGACATTAAGTTCTGCTCACAATAATTTTCATTCAGGAGAACCTATATTTATTTTCCCTGTAATTATTCCCTTATTTATCTAATTTGTCCAATTTTATTCATTTTTTTATCTGCTTTGCGCTCAATGTTTTCTTTTATCTTTTTATGTATTTTTAGTGACTTGTCTCATGCTTCTTTGACTATTATATTATGTCAATATGATATTGATTTTCTTCAATTTCCATCTGTTTTGTTAAGAATTTCAATTTATCATTAAGCCAATAAAAGTAAATAATGGCATGCATAATATGCCATCATTGATATTTTAGCTATTGGTTAAATGAATAGGAACATAATATCAAGAACAAAAAAGGAGGTAGTCCCATGATGCTATTTCGATAAGCCTCCAGCTTGACTACTGTGTTTTGTTAAAGGAATCAAAATCATGAAAAAGCAAAACAAAACAACAAACAACAACAACAAAAACCAATTGCCAGACTAGGACAGCAAAGCATTATTCAAGCAGAAAATATGAAACTGTTAACAATTACTGAGAATGTTTACGTAGAATAAAGATCAAAGCAAGATAGGAAAACCATTTTTAAATATTAAAGGGATATCCTTTTGAACCTCAGTTAGGCTTATTGTAATAGTGTCTCAGTGGAATTAACAAAATTCAAATTATTAAAATGGTAACTTTAGGTTGAGAAAAAGAAGAAATATCTAACAAAATTAAGCCATTTAATATTGAATTAATTTAAAAAATATCAACAGCCTACATGGTGGTGAGGCTTGGAACACTTCCTGGGTGCAATGACAAGATTTGCTTTTTCTACATTCAACAAACTCAGAAATTAGTGAGAAACATGTCATCTCGTTTAGTGAATGAGAGAGACCGATGTGTAAGAAAGAGGGCTGTGCTAGGTCATTCAAATTAAAGGACATAGAAACATATGTTTCCTGTTTTTATAAACCCTAAATGCTCTATGAATGTGAAACAATATAATTTTCCATCATACTGACCCCTATCTTCTAACGTAAGATTATTTTGACATGATCACCTTGGGTCCTTTTGCCTCGAAAGCTAACTGAGCTGTCCTAGCTTATACTTACCCCTTTGGGGGGGAAGGGGGCCAGAATTTACTTCTGTCTCAGAATATAGCCACTAATACCATGTGTTCCCCTCCTCTGCCCTTACTTTCTCCTAGGCATCAAAATGCTCCTGATTATCTACATGATTGGGCAACTTCTTTCTAGACAAGATCTACATTTTATTCATTTTATTTACCTACTTGATTAAGGTGCCACTCCCACCTGATGGTTAAAATAAACTTAAAAAATAAAAATAAATAAAAAAAGGCAGCGCAGATAATTTCCTCCTGGCCTTGAAGAAGTAAACTCATGAGGGTAGAAGCCACCTGGCAAGTCCTCAAGGGGCGCCTACCGGAGTTGACACTGAAACCTAGCCAATAACTAGCAAGAAATACTGATCTCAGTCATAAAGCCACAAAGAAATGAATTCTGCCCACAACCAATAAGCTTCGAAAGTGTCTCGAAGCTTCAAATCAGATGGCACCCCAGCCGACGCCTTGATTTCAGCCTGAGAGGCGCTGAGGTTTCAGCAGAGGACCCAGTTACGGTATCCTCTGACCCACACTTCCATCTGTCTTTACTTTTTCCTCCTCTATACTGCTTCAATTTTTATGGTTAACACGTATCGGTATTATTTTGCCCACAGAGTAAAGTCATCACTCAACACAATGTATTCTTCAGTAATAAGATTCTACTTTCTCAATCTTATAGTGGTTCTTAATGGCCAATGGAAGGAAATATTTTCAATCAATCCAAATGACTGAAGGCTGAACCTTTATCCAAATCAGAGTAGGTGCCTTTCAGGACAAGCAGAAAACAGACTTATACCAGCCTGAACCATGATGAAAAGACAAGATGGAAAAGATCTTACAAAGTAATTTCTTTGTGCCAGGGTGTGCTACAAAGATAAGATTTTCTGATCAAGCGTCATTTTCAAGGAAAATTAAGTTTCCCAAAACTTCGTTTTATGATCGACATGGTAACCAATTTATTTATTTGTTGCTGGCACTTTCTGTTTCATAACAATTTATTCCAGAACTTGACCACAACTCATGTTACATAGAAAATCATTCATAGATGATATCTGCACGTACTTCTTTGATTTATTCACATCAATTTAAATTCACATTGATCAAATCAAATGTTTGGTGTTCAGAATAGAGTGGTTAACAAGTTAAATGAAGTCCATTTTATCACAAGCCTTATATTGTAGAAAAGGATGGCCACAACAACAACAACAACAACAACAAAAAATTAGTAAGTACATCATTTTCAGCTAGTGTTAAGATGTATGAGGAAAATGAGGTAATAAGACACGAGGACACATAATTACATAGAGCACATTGGAAGTGCATTTTTTTCATGTTTATTTATTTTTGAGAGAGACAAAGACAGAGAGTGAGCTTGAGCGGGGGAGGGACAGAGAGAGGGAGACAGGATCCAAAGTGTGGGCTCCATGCCAACAGCAGAGAACAAGATATGGGGCTCAAACCCACAAGTCACAAGATCATGCATGATTGAGCCAAATCGACCTCTTAACCTACTGAGCCACCCAGGCACCCAGGAAATGCATTCCTGAGGATGTAATAATGATAGGAACTGAGATAAGAAGAACCACCCATGGGGAAGTCAGAAGCTAATGACCCTGATGGAAAGTGAGCAAAGGTTAAATGCCATAGAATAAATTCTATACCTTTCACTAACTATTTCTTGAACATCCTACCACGTTCTAGACATGATTACCCATGCTAGACCTGAGCAAAGCAGACAAAAATCACCACCTGTGTGGAGTTTGCTGTCTTCTAGGAGTTGACGGACAACAATAAGATACATAGGCAAAATATGTACCATGTTGGGTGGCAATAAATGGTATGGAAAAGTGTAAAACTGGGGTCAGATCATGTTCTGTGTGTTAGGGGTAGATGGCAGTTTGTGTATCCTATCACTGTTGAGGAAGGAATTCAACTCAGCAACTTACTAAAAACTAGAGAGGTAATTATTTTTGTTTAAGTTTATTTACCTATTTTTGAGAGAGAGAGAGAGCCTGCGTGCTGAAGGAAAGTGGGGAGGAGCAGAGAGAGAATCTCAAACAGACTCCGCACTGTCAGCACGGAGCCCAACACCGGGCTTGAACTTACAGTCCAGGAGATCATGACCTGAGCCAAAACAAAGAGTCCGAAGCTCAACCAGCTGAGCCAGCCAGGCTCCCCCATGAACTAATTATTTGATGCATAAAAATTGTTACATGATTAGGTAAAAATTCCCCAACACAAAAGGAAAACAAGTCAAACGTGGCCATTTTTAAAACCTGAATTTTAGTTGTCGACAAATTTCAACAGCCTTTCAGTTTTAAAATTAAAACAAAACAAAAAAAAAAAAAAACTAAAACAAAAAGAAACCCAATGGAATGACCAGACAAAAAACGTATTTTCTAAATAAAATTATTAAAGTGAAGAAACATGTACTTCCTGAAAGTTACCTCTACATAAATTTGCCACAGAACTATTTGTTAGAAATGCCTTTAATTTTTGTGGGCATAATTTAGACTCCAGATTTTTGCAGCACTATGAATTTTTGATAGTTTTAATGAATTAATTTTATTTTTTTTATTTTTTTAAATTTTTTTTTCAACGTTTATTTATTTTTGGGACAGAGAGAGACAGAGCATGAACGGGGGAGGGGCAGAGAGA